ATTCCCTTAGCTGACATCGAGTGCAGGCCCCAAGCTCATCACTGGGGCTGCAACAGTGTGCAAACACACAGGCCCTGCCATGCTTGCTGCTGGTGGGAGAGACACATATTGATACACGACTAGTCCTGGGAAGGTAACACACCAGTGTCCTAATTGTGATTGGAAAGACTCGAGAACTGAAGGATTGTGAAGCGTTGATCAGGCAAAGTGGGGCTGCGGGACATTCTGGGCAGAGGGAAGAGCTTGTGCAAAGGCTCTGTGGTGGACGGAAAAATGTTTAAGAAACGAAAGGGCCAGTGGGCAGGAGGGCTGGGAAGGAGGCAGAGGTGGCTTCGGGTGAGGCTGGGGGGCTGGATGGGGGCTGGATGGCACGTGGCCAGGAAGGCCGAGTTCGTGGAAGTCATTTTGCGCTCCTCCTTTCTGCTGACTCCCACCCGCTCCCCCTTCTACCAGATTCTCTCTAACCTCTCTCCTACCCCAAAGTCCTCATTGTTCACACACGGAAAATTAAAGGAGCCTATTGCCACCTCCAAATCCATCTTCTGCACTATAACCTTAACCAGTATTTCTAAAATGTAAATCTGATGAAGTTGGTCCTCAGGATGCATACAGTCCTCCCCCCACTTCCCACTGTCAGGATAAAGTCCTGCCCACCTTCCTCTCCTTAGTCCCCCTCACACCCACCCCGATGCCCCCTTCCCAGTGGCTTTACCGAATATCCTGCAGTTCCCCAAAGGTGCTGGCGGGACGTGCTTTGGTGCCCGCATGCCCTCCTCCTTTGTCTGCCTGGTGATGTCCTGCTCTCTCACAAGCTGCAGCTCATCCACCTGCTCTGGGAAGCCATCCTCGCACCCCACTTAAGCCCGTGAGCTGGCCCCTCCTCTTTGCGGGGCACAGGCTCGCATTGGTGCATTTATCCCACCTCCCTCCTTGCTAGTTGACGTGTATATCTCCTCTGCTAGACTTCGGACTCCTGGAGGGAGGGGACTGGGACTCATTTGTCTTTGTCCTCCGGTGCTTCAAGGCTGGGTACACATTAGGTGTTTAATAAATGTTTCCTTGAAGACCTGGTGATGAAGGAATGACATGATATAAGCAGGTGGTGAAAAATGAAGCTCCACCTGGAAAGCTCTGCATACAGGGATTGTGGTTAAGGGCTCTGGCTTCCAGGGCCACCGTGGGCTGTCCGCTTCTGTTTCCTCTAATAACTGAACACAGGTCTCAGGGCTGCCTCCTGCTGCCCCCTCCTGCCACCTCCATCCATCCAGAAGGGCAGGCGCATGCAGGGCGGGCAGAGTTAAGCCTCAATATATTCAATCTTCTAGCAGAGTGGTTCTCAAACTGTAGTGTGTATCGGAATCACCCGCAGGCCCTGTTAAAACACAGATTGCCTGGCCCTACCCCGAGACTTTCCGCTTCGGTAGGTCCGGGGTGGAGCCCAAGAAACTGCATCTCTAACAACTTCCCAGGTGATGCAGATGGGGCTGGTCTGGTGACTACTCTTTGAGAATCTCTCTTCTAGCAAAAGGATCTGCTCTAAAACTTTCTATGGTATTGGGGAAGGAGATATGGGAAGCTTTTTGCTTGGGTTTGGTTTTGTAGGTTTTAAGAACTATTAGTGTGAGATTAATGTGGATAGATGGAGCCGATTCTACACACTTACCTCCTCCCCCATCTCCTCGCTTTCCTACAAAACGTTTCTGTGTTCACTCATCAACTATTCAATGGGTATGTTTTGAAGGTGTAAAATGTGCATGGCAGCACGGCAGGTGGAGTTGTTGACATCAAGATGAAATCGACATGACACTGTCCTTAAGAGAGGTCCTCCATTGCAGTCATAACTATAATTCAAGGAGGTCAAAGAAGAAATGCCTACTCGGGTGGGTAGTGAGTTCCCCATCGGTGGAGTTGTTCCAGGAAGGCACCTAGAGTGTTCGTGGGAATAAAACAATTTGATAGTCAGTTAGACCAGAATCTTAAAATCCTGGAATTCTGTGATTAAGGAGGACGGTGGTAATTGACACAACAAAATGAAACAAATAAAATACTGTGGAGTGTGCAGTAGGGAGATCTGCAGAGGCAGCTGAGGCTTCCCCATATAAATACTGACATTATTGGCCTTATTTTTAATAAACATTTATTCCTCACCAGCAATATTCCTTGTAATGAAATGAATTTATATCCAGTGACCCAATAATTTGCTGTTTATTGACCTTAGATCATTTAAAAGTTAAATAGAAAAAGTCACAAGCAGGCCCACGGTGTGCCTCAGGGGTCTCCTTAGGTCCCACTTCCTAAGCCAAATGGAATTGAGTTGTGTAGTGACATGTTATTATTATTATTTTTTGCAATATTTACGAGAGAGAGAGAGAGGGGGAGAGAGAGGGAGAGAGGAGCCAATTGTAGGACTTGAATTTATAGTCACTAGGTCACCAGCTTGGTCACCAACTTGATCACCAACTTGAATTTCAGACTCTCACCTTCTTAAGAAAGTCCAGCCAATTCCCAGATTCCATAGGAGAGGTAAGGGTCAAAGTCCCTCTTTCAAGGAGGGTACAGCACTTAAGATGTGGTAGACCACACTGAAGCCCCTTGCCCCTCACTACTGTTTATTGAGCATCTATTAGGTGTTGGGTACTGAGTGAGATACTTTACAAATATTATTTATAATCCCTCAAGGTAAGTAATACCATCATCATTTTCAGATTTAAAAAAAGGCACAGGGCTTCCCTGGTGGCACAGTGGTTGAGAATCTGCCTGCCAATGCAGGGGACACGGGTTCGAGCCCTGATCTGGGAAGATCCCACATGCCGCGGAGCAACTAGACCTGTGAGCCACAACTACTGAGCCTGCATGTCTGGAGACTGTGCTCCGCAGCAAGAGAGGCCGCGACAGTGAGAGGCCCGCGCACCGCGATGAAGAGTGGCCCCCGCTTGCCGCAACTAGAGAAAGCCCTTGCACAGAAACGAAGACTCAACACAGCCAAAAATAAATAAATAAATATATTAAAAAAAAAAAAAAAAGGCGCAAAGAGATTATGTATCTTGTCCAATTTCACACAGAACTCCTTAATTTATTTTTGGAAGTCAGCACAACTATGCAATTGAAAATCATGGTAAAAGGCCCAAAATTATTTATCTATCTCAAGTCTGAGTATTAGATGCAAAATGCAAAATTAGAAAGTAGAATGCAGCAGTATATCAAATAGATAATACACCCTGACCAAATGGAGTACATTCTAGGAATGCGAGAATGGCTCAATAGTAGGAAGCATTAGGAAATCAACATAATTCACCATATCAGCAAACTAAAAGAGAGTCATGTACTAGTAGATGCTGAAAGGACAGCTGGTAAAATTCTCCTGTAATAAAACTCTAACTCAGGAATAAGAAGAACTACTTAAACTTGATAAAGACTAAAAACTAGCTACATATATCATTCTAAACAGTGAACCACTAAATCCCATTTCACTACAATTGGAAAAGCTTGCTTTTGCTATTTTAAAATATTGTCTTGGTGATTCTTACAAATGAATTAAGCTAAGAAGATACAATAGTTTACATATACATGAGAAAGAAGAGATGACATTATCCATTTTTGCCAATGGTTATAATACCTGAAAAACCTAAGAGAATCTTGTAAGAAAGGAAACCCCCCCAGAAATAATAAGGGTAAGGGGTAAGAGGAGTGGGTAACAGCTCTTCTCTATACTGTGGAGGTCATGCAGCTGGTCAACTTTGGCACCTGGAAGTGGGATTTGAACCCATGTCTGATGAGGAACTCTGTACTCTTTCCACCTTGGGAAGTGTTTACACTCCCTGCTATAACCCAGTCATGTGGAGCGAGAGTCTCTTAAAGATGGCAACCTCAGCTACTCCAGCAGATCCGGTGGGGTTTGCTCTGCTGGGGAGAGGTGGGGACGAGATGAGAGGGTTGGCGTGAGATTTTTCCTGGAAGACCCTTGTGGCTTCTGCTACCAGCAGTGCCATCCCTCCACGGGCTGAGATATTGGGCTCTGTGACAGGGAGGGTGGTGGCAGTGGCCTAGTCTTAGCCATTTGGGTACTGAGCAGCCGACCAAGGGAGCTGCCCCTTTCTTCTTCTTGGGTCCAAGAAATCATATTTGTGTTGCTTGTTGCCCTTGTCTCCTACTGTCCACCTGAGAGGTAGTGCCTGCTAGGACACGTTTTTAGAGATTCGGGGTATCAGAGGCTTCCCGGGCCATCAAGGGCACAAGCTCTTGGTTGCGACATCTACCAAGGATGCCTCAGATTCATAGTTTTAATGGTGGAAGTGGAATGTGTTTTTCTGGCACAGAATCACTGGGTGATAGATCAAAAATATGATCCGTATAAAGCTTTTGTACTTCATACAGAGTCAACCACAGGGTGGTAGAAGGAGTACCGCACAGGAATCCAGGAGACCGGGGTTCCAGTGGCTCTGCCACAGCCAGCTGTGTGTTCCCAGGCAAATCACTTAAGCTTGCTGGGCCTCGCTTGCTTCATCTGTGCCATGGGGTTTTGGACTAAATAGACTCCCAGTGCCTTTTAACTTCAAAGTTATAATGAGTGTCACCCTTACCAAAGTTATAATACTTATCACCCGTACCACTGTTCTAAGTGCTTTGCATAGAGATTAACTCATCATAACAACCAAAGAGCTAAGTACTACTATTATGCTTATTTTCCCTCTGAAGAAACTGAGGCACATAGAGTGCAAGTGACTTTCCCAGGGTCTCACAGCTAGGAAATGATGGTGCTCTTACACAGTTCAACTTCCGTCTTCTATGGTTTTTCTTTACCTGGGTTCTTTTCTTTACTTGTTGCAGCGGTGCTGGTGCTGGGGTGAGGGTCGGGGGGTGTTGGGAGTGGGAGACACTTTTTTGGGCAAACCCAGCTCTGGGGTGGATGGATGGGAGTCACTGCCTGGGAGAATGATGGCCGTGGCTGCAGAGATTGCTAACATTTGCGTTTTCCCTTCCTTTCCTCTTTTCCTCTCTAGTCTGCGGCAAGCGCTATAAAAACCGGCCGGGACTCAGTTACCACTACGCTCACACCCACCTGGCCAGCGAGGAGGGGGATGAGGCCCAAGACCAGGAGACCCGGTCCCCACCCAACCACAGAAACGAGAACCACAGACGTGAGTTCCCAGTTGTTGGGTTGGGGGAGTGATGAGGTGGGTGGGCAGGGCTATGGAGCATTCCTTTTTGTTCACCTCGGGCATCTTCTGGTGGCACCTGTAGATTGGTCTCAAGGACCTGTGGTGAGTTGGCTATTTCAGCACAGCCACAGATGCCCCGTGGGTCAGCTGAGCCTGAAGCTTAGAGTGAGCTGGGCAGGGGTGGCACACCCAGCTCTGTTCCCAGAGGATGGGAGGTAAGTGTTAAGGCGGAAGAGAAACATCCTTACCTGGCCATTGTCAAATGCCAGACCTGCTACTCTTTTCCCTCAGTTCCAGAAGATCCATTCACAGCTGCTAACCTGAGGTGGGCAAAGCTGTGGGGTGTGTCAGTTCAGGCAGACATTCCAAATGTCTCCTTGGCCACCAAGGGACATAGAATATTCTTGCTTCACTGTCTCAGCTCTTATAGGGCCACACTTTTGGTAAGGGCTCTCCTGCCTTAGAAATATGGCCCTGGAGCCTCCATGCTCTTCACTTGAGCACTCAGTCAGCAAACATGACCTGGGTATACTTGTCACTTGGGATGTTGGGCTCTGAAGACGCAAAATAATCCTGAAGATTTGTGTTTCCATTTCTATTCTTTCCTTCCTTCCTCAACTTCCAGTTATGAATTAGCGAGTCACAAAGGGTTTAGCATTCACCATGTGACTTCCCTCTACAACATTCCTTATGGTTTCTGGGCCACCCCCAAATCAGAATGGGAAGGAATAATGGGATCTTTAGGGCTTGCTTCAAGATGTGGGTCATTCTAGGATCATGGGGTGAAGAATAACTGTGGACATGGCACGTGTTTGTTGTTTTTTTTTTTAATATCTTTATTGGAGTATAATTGCTTTACAATGGTGTGTTAGTTTCTGCTGTGTAACAAAGTGAATCAGCTACACGTACACATATATTCCCATATACCCTCCCTCTTGCATCTGCCTCCCACCCTCCCTATCCCACGCCTCTAGGTGGTCACAAAGCACTAAGCTGATCTCCCTGCGCTATGTGGCTGCTTCCCAATAGCTATCTGTTTTACGTTTGGTAGTGTATATATGTCCATGCCACTCTCTCACTTCATCCCAGCTTATCCTGCCCCCTCCCCATGTCCTCAAGTCCATACTCTATGTCTGTGTCTTTATTTCTGTCCTGCCCCTAGGTTCTTCAGAACCTTTTTTTTTTTTTTTAGATTCCATATATATGTGTTAGCATATGGTATTTGTTTTTCCCTTTCTGACTTACTTCACTCTGTATGACTGACTCTAGTTCTATCCACCTCACTACAAATAACTCAATTTAGTTGCTTTTTATGGCTGAGTAATATTCCACTGTATATATGTGCCACATCTTCTTTATCCATTCATCTGTTGATGGACACTTAGGTTGCTTCCATGTCCTGGCTATTGTAAATTGTGCTGCAATGAACATATTGGTACATGACTCTTTTTGAATTATGGTTTGCTCAGGGTATATGCCCAGTAGTGGGATTGCTGGGTCATATGGTAGTTCTAGTTTTAGTTTTTTAAGGAACCTCCATACTGTTCTCCATAGTGGCTGTATCAATTTACATTCCCACCAACAGTGTAAGAGGGTTCCCTTTTCTCCACACCCTCTCCAGCATTTATTGTTTCTAGATTTTTTGATGCTGGCCATTCTGACAGGTGTGAGGTGATACCTCATTGTAGTTTTGATTTGCATTTCTCTAATGATGAATGATGTTGAGCATTCTTTCATGTGTTTGTTGGCAATCTGTATATCTTCTTTGCAGAAATGTCTGTTTAGGTCTTCTGCCCATTTTTGGATTGGGTTATTTGTTTTTTGGATATTGAGCTGCATGAGCTGCTTGTATATTTTGGACATTAATCCTTTGTCAGTTGCTTCGTTTGCAAATATTTTCTCCCATTCTGAGGGTTGTCTTTTGGTCTTGTTTATGGTTTCATTTGCTGTGCAAGAGCTTTTAAGTTTCATTAGGTCCCATTTGTTTATTTTCATTTTTATTTCCATTTCTCTAGGAGGTGGGTCCAAAATGATCTTGCTGTGGTTTATGTCATAGAGTGTTCTGCCTATGTTTTCCTCTAAGAGTTTGATACTGTCTGGCCTTACATTTAGGTCTTTAATCCATTTGTTTTTGTGTGTGGTGTTAGGGAGTGTTCTAATTTCATTCTTGTACATGTAGCTGTCCAGTTTTCCCAGGACCGCTTATTGAAGAGGCTGTCTTTTCTCCATTGTATATTCTTGCCTCCTTTATCAAAGATAAGGTGACCATATGTGGGTTTATCTCTGGGCTTTCTATCCTGTTCCATTGATTTATAATTCTGTTTTTGTGCCAGTACCATACTGTCTTGATTACTGTCGCTTTGTAATATAGTCTGAAGTCAGGGAGCCTGCTTCCTCCAGCTCCGTTTTTCTTTCTCAAGATTGCTTTGGCTATTCGGGGTCTTTTGTGCTTCCATACAAATTGTGAAATTTTTTGTTCTGTTTCTGTGAAAAATGCCATTGGTAGTTTGATAGGGATTGCATTGAATCTGTAGATTGCTTTGGGTCATTTTCACAATGTTGGTTCTTCCCATCCAAGAACATGGTATATCTCTCCATCTGTTTGTATCATCTTTAATTTCTTTCATCAGTGTCTTATAGTTTTCTGCATACAGGTCTTTTGTCTCCTTACTAGGTTTATTCCTAGGTATTTTATTCTTTTTTTTGCAATGGTAAGTGGGAGTGTTTCCTTAATTTCTCTTTCACATTTTTCATCATTAGTGTATAGGAATGCAAGAGATTTCTGTGCATTAATTTTGTATCCTGCTACTTTACCAAATTAATTGATTAGCTCTAGTAGTTTTCTGGTAGCCTCTTTAGGATTCTCTATGTATAGTATCATGTCATCTGCAAACAGCGACAGCTTTACTTCTTCTTTCGCAATATGGATTCCTTTTATTTCTTTTCCTTCTCTGGTTGCTGTGGCTAAAACTTCCAAAACTATGTTGAATAATAGTGGTGAGAGTGGGCAGCCTTGTCTTGTTCCTGATCTTAGAGGAAATGGTTTCAGATTTTCACCATTGAGAACAATGTTGGCTGTGGGTTTGTCATATATAACCTTTATTATGTTGAGGTAAATTCCCTCTATGCCTACCTTCTGAAGGGTTTTTATCATAAATCGGTGTTGAATTTTGTCAAAAGCTTTTTCTGCATCTGTTGAGATGATCACATGGTTTTTATTCTTCAATTTGTTAATATGGTTTATCACATTGATTGATTTGCGTATATTGAAGAATCCTTGCATTCCTGGGATAAACCCCACTTGATCATGGTGTATGATCCTTTTAATGTGCTGTTGGATTCTGTTTGCTAGTATTTTGTTGAGGATTTTTGCATCTATGTTCATCAGAGATATTGGCCTGTAGTTTTCTTTCTTTGTGACATCTTTGTCTGGTTTTGGTATCAGGGTGATGGTGGCCTCATAGAATGAGTTTGGGAGTGTTCCTCTCTCTGCTATATTTTGGAAGAGTTTGAGAAGGATAGGTGTTAGCTCTTCTCTAAATGTTTGATAGAATTCGCCTGTGAAGCCATCTGGTCCTGGGCTTTTGTTTGTTGGAAGATTTTTAATCACAGTCTCAATTTCAGTTCTTGTGATTGGTCTGTTCATATTTGCTATTTCTTCCTTGTTCAGCCTTGGAAGGTTGTGCTTTTCTAAGAATTTGTCCATTTCTTCCAGGTTGTCCATTTTATTGGCATATAGTTGCTTGTAATAATCTCTCATGATCCTTTGTATTTCTGCAGTGTCAGTTGTTACTTCTCCTTTTTCATTTCTAATTATTTTGATTTGAGTCTTCTCCCTTTTTTTCTGATGAGACTGGCTAATGGTTTATCAATTTTGTTTATGTTCCCAGAGAACCAGCTTTTAGTTTTATTGATCTTTGCTATCGTTTCCTTCATTTCTTTTTCAATTATTTCTGATCTGATCTTTATGATTTTTTTCCTTCTGCTAACTTTGGGGTTTTTTTGTTCTTCTTTCTCTAATTGCTTTAGGTGTAAGGTTAGGTTGTTTAGTTGAGATGTTTCTTGTTTCTTGAGGTAGGATTGTATTGCTATAAACTCCCCTTTTAGAACTGCTTTTGCTGCATCCCATAGGTGTTGGGTCATCGTGTTTTCATTGTCATTTGTTTCTAGGTATTTTTTTGATTTCCTCTTTGATTTCTTCAGTGATCTCTTGGTTATTTAGTAGTGTATTGTTTAGCCTCCATGTGTTTGTATTTTTTACAGGTTTTTTCCTGTAATTGATATCTAGTCTTATAGTGTTGTGGTTGGAAAAGATACTTGACATGATTTCAATTTTCTTAAATTTACCAAACCTTGATTTGTGGCCCAAGGTATGATTTATCCTGGAGAATGTTCCTTCAGCACTTGAGAAGAAAGTGTATTCTATTGTTTTTGGATGGAATGTCCTATAAATATCAATTAAGTCCATCTTGTTTAATGTGTCATTTAAAGCTTGTATTTCCTTATTTATTTTCATTTTGGATGATCTGTCCATTGGTGAAAGTGGAGTGTTAAAGTCCCCTACTATGATTGTGTTACTGTTGATTTCCCCTTTTATGGCTGTTAGTATTTGCCTTATGTATTGAGTTGCTCCTGTGTTGGGTGCATAAATATTTACAATTGTTATATCTTCTTCTTGGATTGAGCCCTTGATCATTATGTAGTGTCCTTCTTTGTCTCTTGTAATAGTCTTTATTTTAAAATCTATTCTCTCTGATATGAAAATTGCTACTCCAGGTTTCTTTTGATTTTCATTTGCATGGAATATCTTTTTCCATCCCCTCACTTTCAGTTTGTATGTGTCCCCATGTCTGAAGTGGATCTCTTGTAGGCAGCATATATATGAGTCTTGTTTTTGTATCCATTCAGCCAGTCTATGTCTTTTGGTTGGAGCATTTAATCCATTTACATTTAAGGTAATTATCGATATGTATGTTCCT